GCTCTGCGGGCGGCCCCGCGCCGCAGCGCGCAGGGCGCAGGGCGGGGACGGGAGGGGACGGGAGAGGAGAGGGGCGCGCGGCGCTCGCTGCTCACCCGCCGCCGCGCTGCAGCCGTGCCGCTTGCCGGCGCAGCAGCAGCCCGCAGCAGCCCTGCGCCCAGCAGTTCCCCATCGCATGCTGCGCGCCGGCCGCGGCTCCTCCTGCCCGCCGCGCGGGCCGCCCAACGGCCGCAGCATCAACGGCCGCGCGGAGCCCGGCGCGGCGGCAACACGGCGGGGCGGCCGCCGCGAGGCGCAACGCCGCATGCCCGGCGCTGGCGCCGCCCCTTCCCGCCGCCGCCGCCGGGGCCGGGGCGGCCCCTTCCGGCGGCCGGGGCGGGGAACGGGGAGCGGGGTCCCGCGGAGCGGGGCGGCCCGGAGCGGCGGCGCGGCCCGCCGCGGGGCGGTTAGCGCCGCTCTGCCCAGGGGCGTTTCTGGGAGCCTGGACGAGTGTCCCCAAAACACACTCGCAGGTGTCGTTGAAATTGCAAAATAATAATAATAAAAATTAAAAAATTCTGGCAAACCTAAAAAAATGTGAAGGATCTTCTCATGAAGCACAGTGTAAGCATGCCAAGGTATTCACTTCCACGCAGGTTTTGGATAAATAGAGAGACGTCCCTTTGGACAGGGCACCGTGGCGCTGTCCTGCGTGTGCCCAAGGTAACCGAGTGGAAAAGCCCTGCGTGAGGCGGAAGCCGAATCCTTGAAGGAGGGAAAGCAAATGTTGGCCAGGAGCTGCTGTCTGTACAGCAGAATAAACAAACCAACAAACAAAAGGCTTCTCCCTGCCAAACAACGGATTCGGCCTGGCTTTGCACAGGAGGCAATAGTGCCTCATGGTGGACTGTCACCACCACCACACACCGCTGTTGCGGTAAGGAATACATTGTGAAATTTTGTTCTGTGTTCACTACGGCTTGTATAGCATGTGTTACATAAAATTCTGTAATTTTATATATATATATATATGTATGTATGTAAAGTCGAAGGTCATTCGGGACACTAAACTATTTCATTGGAAACCTCAAGTCACCGGATAGAATATGAAGTGGCTAGCGTGCGTGTCGCTGTGTTGACACTGTCTAGGGGAACAGTTCTGGGAACTACCCCGAGACAAACAAGGTGTGCGGGGCGCAGTGCACACGCACACGCTATTTACTACAACGGGGTAAGTGATACACAAAAGGACATGCAATTACCCCAAAATCCACATCGACAGAAATCGCATCAGTCTAACCCTGCTCAAAGTACTGGAAGTGCCTAACTTGCACAGTAGGTATTTAGAAAATGAAAGCTACCCAGTTAATATTTATTGATTTAGACGCAAGTCACTGTAAGACCACAAATTTAATTCTTAGAAAAAGCTCTTCTGGCTAGTGSCTTTTAAACTCCTCTTCCTAACTGACCTGCTGGATGTGTCTTTCATCATGGAAAAACGGAAAAGTTCGCAATGACTGGCATTTAAAAGCAGAAAAAATGCAAGATTTCCAAGGGCCAATATGAAAAATCAAACAAACTCTTTGTACAAGCTCTTTGGAGGAGAGGAAACCAACTCAGGGCTCCTCCTGGCCACAAGTGTCACATTATAAAATAGAAAAAGTATCAAGTTTGAACCTAGTAAATGTCATTCAGATGCCAACAGGCTGTCGAATATATCTGGYGCGCTGGTACTATGTGATTCAGCAAGGTTTATCACTCATTCTGCAGCGCCTTCAGTCTGTGCCTTAGCACCCCACCGAAGCCCATCATCATAAATTARCAGGGAAGATACATGCGCACAAAGATCACTAAAAACAACCCAAAACACTATAAGCAACAGAAAATGTTGCCATTTTTCASTCCTATCTTGAGAAAGATGATGGCTTATTGGAATGCCTCTAGTCAATAACTGTACCATGTAAAAGCTGTGGAAAAGCAAATACTTTGGAGTCTTGAGGAAAAGAAGTGTAAGAACCCACTGGATGCACACATAGATCGTTGGAAGCTTTTTTTTTTTTTTTTTTTTTTAAATAAAGGCAGGGGAAGCTGTAAGCAAACTAGATAGTGTAAGAGAACTGGATCTTCTCGTTCTACCCGAGTTTGTCCTGGAATATGCGCTGTATTTATATATCTTATCAAGGGGAAGATAACTGGTAGCATTTGTTAGGCTTCAAGATATCCAAAAAGTAGAGCACAAATGTAACCAAATCATTCTTCTGGAAAGAAGTTTTGGAAAAGATTGCCAAGAGTCACTGGTTGGGTACAATAAAATAAAATAAAATAAAATAAAATAAAATAAAATAAAATAATTTTATTAATAAAATCTACTTATTTTATTAATAAAATAAAATAATTTAATTATTTTATTTTAAAAATAAAAAATCTGTTTCAAAAGACCTTTTTTTTTCTGCTTATCTGGGAGAATTGGGAAAATGGCACATTCCTGTACTCGAGGTCAGGCAAGATGGTAGCTTCTGGCTTCCCACGAGCAGCCATTCTGTGCTGAGGAGATGGAAGAACATAGTAATTAGGTAAAGGTAAGCTTAAATAAAAACAATATAATTGCTTGGCTGGAGTTTATACCTTATAAATTCTGCAATGAGAAATGAATGCAAGTCATCAAGGTGTGTCATTTTTGGGATGTATTTTAGAATAATTCACAGTTTTCGTTGAAAACTGAGCTACTTTCTCTGTGAGTTGTAGCTAATATATTTCTAACATACTGGAAGCTTTATGATAATGGCTTAAGTTGCTTTAGAGTTATAGCAGACTGATATATCGTAATAATAATCATCACTCTTTAATCACTCTTTAGTGCATTAATAGCAGTAGTAAAAGATTAGTAAATCTAAATCCCTTCAAATTGTTGTACTTCACACAAAAGATATATCCTGCAAAGTAGTGCTGCTGCATCATGCATTGCATGGAAGTTGTGAAGATTTTGTGTGATGCCTACTCTGCTCAATATGAAAATAATGCGTGAGGTTTTAACCCCATATAAACATACCTGGAATATGGAGCAATTCTAGGTTTACTTCAATATAACTGATGTTTTAGTTGCATGCGCAGAGCAGTCTGGCAGGCCAGACGCAGGGCTAAAATAAAACCCAGGCTTCTTAAATTTCATGTTGAAACTCTCCTTTCCTCAAAAAAAAAAAAAAAAAAAGAGAGAGAGATAAGAGAAATATATTTGATATTCTGGTTTTACTGTTTGATAGCAGAAATCTTCTCCAGAATGATGAATTCATTCTTATTTTTGGAGCCTCTTTGCATGTTTTCTTCCGGCTTTTTGTTTGTCTGGTATAACTGGAACTCRCCCTGCTTTCTTCCCTTAGCTTCAATCTGCACTCATGTACTCTGCCACAGGAAAATATTATGAAAGGCAAAGTATTCTAAGGCACACATGAAAGACACTAGTTTTAAGGCATCCTAAATACTGTCGCTTTCAGAAATGTGGCATTGACTTATTGCTGTATGGAACAGTTCTATAGAATCTCATTTATGTCTTTACATAATATATGAGGAAGAAGATTTTCAAGTATTATAATTAAGATATTTCTCAGTGCTAGGACAGATAGTCTTAGTCATTACAGAAGAATGTCTAAACTGTAGGTGAGAACGCTGTCATTCCCGAAAGCTGGAATTTAGCCGCAAAATTAGAATAATCATTTCTCTCCTGGAAAGACCTGGTACCGGTTAGTCAAAAGATGAGATTTACTTTTCTTTCAAAGTACATCTAGTTCTTTAGTACTTACAGCATCACAGAATTCATCTGCAAACGCTCTGTAAAAGGATCAGTTTGGTACCAGCACAGAAAACAGAAGCATTTCTGAAATAAGGCGCCAATGCATATTGCAGTTCATCAGCAAAATGTCAAAGCTGTCCTGTTTTATTTTCCTTCTTTCTTCTGTGGAAYGGGTGAGTTGAAGTGTATGTGCTTGGAATCATCTGATTAGAGGCTTTTCCTTCTCTCATTTTCCTGCAGAACATACTTCTACTACCACGGAATATAAATCTTCACGGAAATTTCCCTCCCCTGTTTATTTTTTGTGGAGTTGAGTTTCTACTGTGCTGTCGTGTCACACACAAGCATATTTTTTATTTTTTACTAGTGTTTGGGCTCTTTACTGAGAGCTTGTAAGGAGCCACCCTACATCCCGTGTTACTCTGAGAAGCAGAGGGATCGTGGTGCCTTGTAAAATCAAATTTTTGGATTTTATGATGAAATATTGGGTTTCTCTGGTTGGTTTGATGTTGTGCTGCTGTTACAGTATCCTTARCAACGCATTTTGTAGGTCAATATCCCCAGACCCATTTTCATCCAAAGTGACTGAAGTTATGATAATGATCAGTTATGATAATGATTGCAATAGAAATTCTGTTTAGATGTTTATATCAGATTAGTTTATTAATGCCCAAATGTATTTGTTTATGTCACGAGCAGGTGGGTGAAGGTGCCAAGCGTGGGGAGTTACCCAGCTGTGGAGAAGCCTGCTGAGTTGAGCTGTGGTTTGTAGGTCAGGTGCATCTAATCACCTGATAAAGGGACATCCTATTAAAGGAAGGGTGGGAAGGTTGCAGCTCATTTGTGTTTCCTCCTCAGTGTGTGAGGTAAGTAGTCTCTAAAGGAAAGAGACTGATTTATGTAAAGTGTTCTGTTCAACTCCCCATAAGGGTGTATGTGAACTGTCTTGTTTCCTTGTTCATGAAAATTTTCTCCTGTGATATGAGCCTGAGACATGGGATGTGTGTGTAGAGGTATGTCATGGTTAGGGGATTGCAGGGATGAGMAAGAGCAAAGCTAGTGACTGTGAGCAGAGGGATCTAATGAGAGSACCTGGTCTGATCTTGGTGCAAATAAATTAGATCTGTTTTTTTTGGTTTTTTATTACTTTTTTTTCCTTTATAAGGCATTTCTGATTATTCAAGCTGTTTTRGGTGTTGGAGGAAATTATTTTTATTATAGTCTCACTTGAGATTARTTGACTTCAGTGTACCTTTTGATAGAAGTGATTTCCTTGCGTGATGAACCTAAATATTGGAYTACTGGAACAAGGACTCAGCTCTTCAATCTGTTAGTCACAGACTCTTGGAGAATAAAAGAGTGTGGCTCAAGTTTCATGGTCCGGTTTGATTGCAGGTATTGTGGGG